TTTCAAAATTTCGTACTAATTTAATTATGTAACTATTTGCAATAGAAATCGACATAATATTAGGTGTTGGAATTAATTCGTAGCGTTTTTTAATGAAAGAATGTTATTTATTTCACATGAGCATTAAAAAATACATTAATGAAAGTACTTCCCATCACTTGTAAAACGCTACGAATTAATTCCAACACCTAATATAATATTTTATTACTAGAACGTATAACTGTATGTGTACGCGTATACATGTACTTGTACAGACTTTTTTTATACGTATAAAGAATAAGATCTTACTATTATTTGCGCTAATTTTTTATATTTAATTGCTCATTTGACATATTACAAGTCAATATTTTCAGAGAAATATCAATTCTTAAATTAATCAGAAAATTTGCAATTATAAATCAATTCTAGATCAAATATAATACTTGAATTAAAATCTTCATACCAGATGTATAATCCAAGTTATAAGGATGCTAAATATACATATTATTTGCAATCCAATAAATTTTGATTTTTCATAAGGCCACAAACCAACTATTAACAAAAGAGTTCGATTAAGACTGAAATATCTATCCACAATACTGATCATGTCTCAGCTAACTCTAAAATGTTTATAACGGAATTGGAGTGAACGAAGTGAACTTATCCCCACCATTTAGATGATCGATTAAATGTTTCTAATATTTTTTTTTTGTAATTTATGAAATGTTCCACAATTTAATACAATTTCAGTAATTCAACCAATTTCGCTAAATTGTTAAAATTTATATAAATTTTAAAAAATTTTTTAAATTTTCAATGATATGTGTACTATGAAACGTGCAATAAAATACTGATGTAATATTAAAACCCTCGCAATTTAATACTACTTTTTAAAAATATGTCGCGTTTAAGCGATCGATTCAGTTACGAACAAATTCAACAGATGTTCTTTTCTCGTAGAATACATCCAAAAGAAAAACTATGGATGTAAAATTAGCGCAAGCGCTGTAGTTACTTTTTCAACGACGCGTATTCTCGTGTTTCATTCTAAAATACGCCCTTGTAAGTTATACTTGATTTTTCAGAGTCAGTACATTAACTTGAAAATATAGCGTAGAATAATTTAATTCGCGTTATCAATAAGTGCAAGGAATGTACAGACTAATTTATAAACGTAATTGATATCCTTTCTTTCTTTTTTAGTATTTACTTAGTTCTCTGTGATAAAGAAGATATCTTCAAATATGATGAAAATGTATCTAATTGTAAGTAGAGATCGGAGAATCTTTTCAAAATAGACACAATAAAAGTGTACTTATTATAAGCATGCGTTTCTTTTGACTTTATTTTATTAGTTTGACTTTATTTTTTAAATTTAACTTCTTTTATTCTAAAAGATCAATTAAATCATCTTATACAAATTATTGTTTATAATATATAGGGAAATTTTTAAAGTTCTCTTTATTAATTATATATCCGAGGTACAAAATACAGAATCTAACAGGAAAATCACATCAATTTTCATTCAACAAAAAAAATCTGATATATGATATATTTATATATGATACATCAGATTTTTTTTATATGATATAAAATGATATAAATAAATAAAGAAAGATCTTTTTATTTCTGTAAATTAAAGTTAAAGGCATATTGAGAATAAAGATAAATATGGGATCACTATTTAATACAGCTGATTTTATCATTTGTTACATTGTTAATACACATTACAATAAATGACCTTTAAATAATAAATATTAATTAGCGGGCAATGAGAGCATTTACAGTGCGGTATTTTGAGCGCAATACATAAAATATATTCACAATAATTTTACATTACTTGTTGATACAATATTCTTGGCCGTTTCAGTTTACTTTAAATCATCATCAAAAATAGCATGTAATTTTCATAAGCAATATTCCAATCTGCCTATGTTGGAGACGATCTCTGCGTTTGAGGATGTGCATACTCCTACTTCTTAATTGAAAATGCTATTACTTTTTTTCGTTGTTAAATCAAGTGAATAACCAAATGATACGATAATGAAACAACAATATTAGTTGTATTGATTTTACATAGTTTCTCACTTTTTCTCCAACGCAGAGATCATCTCCAACATATGCGGAATATTGCTTACGAAAATTATATGGTATTGCTAATGATTAAAGTAATGGTTAATAGTTTAAAGTAAAAACCGAAATGTCCAAGAATATTGTATCATCAAGTAATGAAAAATTATTGTAAATATGTTTGATGTACTGCGCTCCAAATACCGTGTTGTAAATGCTCTCATTGCTCGCTAATTAATATTTATTATTGTTTTTTTTAGAAGCTTATGAAATATAATTGTTTTTAAATAAACTTTAATTATATCCGAGACATGTCACGATCACGATATAAAATACATGTTTTTCCAATGCACTTTTGCGTATACACAGAAAGGGCATTGCAGCTTTACTCGAAAATAGAATAAAAAAACTAATTTTTTTCTGTTAGTTAAAAATTATAGATATTTTATGGCACATTTCCACTTGTCGATGACGCATCATTTGTTACCGTATTCAAACTTTTGCCTTCAATATTCTTTATATTGCTAGCGTCGGATAACGTTTCAGGTACCTGTACGAAAAAAAATTAAAGTATTAGAAAATGGAATCGAGGAAAATTTATTATACAAAATTATCACATACTTTTATCTGGCAAGGTAGATTAGGCAAAATAATTAAAGAGAATACTTATTTTCCTAATAGGCCACGAAAAAGAAGATTCGCAGGTAGTCAATTTATCGATAGATCCTATGGAAGGAATGAGTTCATCAGCAAGAAAATTATATTTTGCATGTACAGAAGTCATTGTTATGATTCCGATTCATTATTACCGTATCATTGAATTTTTAACTGTTTTTGGCAGAATTGGGGATGATTATTTGCAGACATTGTAAACAAAATATAACATTTGGCGAATCAGACCATCGTGACCTTCGTTTTAAAATCATAATTAGATGTGGTCAAACACCAATTAACTACGGTCCTTTCATTATAAATGCTTACGAGATCAATCTTAGAATAGTTAGTATTTGTTACGAGATTATTAAGCATTGTTAGAGAAGGCATAATCTTTTGAGAGCTTATGGACTTCGGCCAAGACCTAAATTGGTCTGTGAAAATGCTAATGAAAAAGTTCATGCTGCGGCAAGTGCAGTATTTGATAATTTGTATAGAAAAATGATTGATGAAGAAAAAGAAAATATTAAGAATGGACATTCTTTATTAAATTTGAAAATGTCTGGCGACGGATCCTGGAAAACACGCAGCTTCTTTTTATTATTGGTGTCATGACGCTAGGAAATTATATTGGCAAGTTAATAGATCATTGTAAGGAGCAATTATTGCCAATCATGTACGTATTGGAAAATAAACAAAATGCTGAAGATAATCTTCTCTGATACAAACAACACGGATAAAAATGTGTTAAAAACCATACCGGTTCTTCGGAAAAAATACAATGCGCGATATCCTCTCGAGTCTGACACCATAGCCATCGAATATAGGAGCATATTGTATAGTCTTTTTTAATCGTTGATTTCAAATTTGAAATAAAAAATATGCAATTCAAAATAGCAGATCCAACATGACTAATAAGTAAATATACATGGAAATGATTTTAGCGTTATCCATCCTGTATCATTTTATTATAATAAGGGGAACGCTATATCACCGTTCCATATAAATTTAGTATTCATTGGATTTGCTATTTTCAGTTCAACAATTGTGATTACAGTATAAAAAAATCAAAGACTTTCAAAATCACCAAATACCAATTTTCATGTACCTAAGGATTTTTAAAAATTCTTGTCCTTTTGGATCCGCCATTTTGAATTGAACCTTTTTTTAATACAGATTTGAAATCAATGATTAAAAAAGATTTTTAAGTGGAAACATACAGCTATAAGAACAAATTGTCAGATATTTTTTACGATTTTTTTTTTGAATTATTTGGTTTTATATTTCAAAGTTTGTCATTTTTTCTGGTTTTTCATGATTTTTCCAAGGTTTTTTTAATTTTGATTTGCATAAAACATTTTTATAAACATCAAAAAAATATTTTTTATATTGTTGGAACGTTCCTAAGTTAAGTGCCGCAAAACAGACTTCGATATCATTTTTGTTTAGCCGAAAAAAATTAATAAATAAGTTACTTCTGAAAAAAACTGTATTTTCGATTATTAAAAAAATGGAGGGTAATGGAAAAAAACGGACAACGTAGTAGTTTTCAGCGCCTCAAAATCCTGTAGACACATCTTTCAAAGTTCAAAGCCACCGTAAATTTTGTCGGCTTGTGTAATCGATTCAATGTGGAACGAAAGGTAACAGATGTTCCCTTTTCATAGAATACCATTCACGCAAAAAATATAAAATGCATATTACGCAAACATATTATTCGTCAGTTTTCAGTGTTTATTCGTATGTTTTATTTTAATGTATATAAATTTGTTATGCATATGATCTGCTGGGGTATAAATTATATATATATATATATATATATATCCTACGTTGCCTAAACTAAATTAAATAATGTTTATTAAATATGAAATAGTATAGGTCTAAATATCAAACAGAAGATCATAAAATAATGGTATTAAAATAATATTGATTTTCAAGGTACAACATTAAAAAATAGAATAAAAAATATATATATGTGTGGTATTAAATTAATCTAAGCATCTAAAAGGTATTAAGGAGAATATTAATTATAAAAAGAAAGCTAACACGTAAAATTAAGTTATTACTCAATAAAATTAAGTCAAAATTCAATCTATTTTTTATTCTGTCTTATTATGCAATTTACTATTAAATATATGAAAAAAAAGTAACATGTAATATGTACATTTATTTACTTTCTTCTTACATTAAATATTATTGTAAAATTTTTTTATCTTCTCTTTCCTTTATAGATTGTTTATGTTAATATTTTTTTTTTAGGCAGAGATATATTGCAAATCGTTTTTTGTATAATATACTGTTATAATCGCATTGAATACATAATAGTAAAGTAAGAAACAGATGCATTTATTAACTGTAACAAATTATGTTTGTTTTCATTTTATTTTATCATATAAAAAATATATTTTTAGTATTATAGCAAAGGATATAAAATATATATTTTGTGTACCGTGGCAAAACATTCTAAGGACGCTACAAACAATCCACCGACTTTCAGGCCAAAACTTTTAATACCTCTTTGCAGTATAATCAATATTAGCCTTTGTATGGGTAAAGGAGTTACGTACCATTGAACTTCGTATCTAAAATTAACGATGATTTAAAAAATTTGAAGTAAATAAGAATATTTATGTGATGCTACTTCACCATGTATACATATATGTATCATGTACTATATTAATACATCAAAAACAATAGTTATTATACAACAGTAATTAATACAAAATTTAATTATTAGGTGTTGGAATTAATTCGTAGCGTTTTACAAGTGATGGGAAGTACTTTCATTAATGTATTTTTTAATGCTCATGTGAAATAAATAACATTCTTTCATTAAAAACGCTACGAATTAATTCCAACACCTAATACTAATACTTTTCATTTCTTTATTAGTATTTAGGGCCAATTTTGTAACTTTTAACGACTGCCATAATTGTAGCGTTATACTCGTTAAGAGTTACAGAATAAACCACTAAATTTTTTTTTATGATAATAATGCTACTATAATACAAAATAATTATATTACTTACGCAGTGACAAATATGTAATTATTATGATCAATAATTTGCTGTCCGACCAAATTGGATATAAACATGTATAGAAAACAGATAGATATAATTATGAAACATATCATAAGTTCTTCAGTATTATATTCAAATAATACAATCTGAAAGATCTAGTAAACAAATGTATTATTTAGATCAATTTCTGAATATAGTATTAAATAAATATAATTTATTAATTTGCGATAGAATTTACTACAACGTTTATCTACTATAAAAATTAATGTGTTAAGTATATATATTTTCATAAATAGAGTATTATAAATTTTAATGGTATTGCTATATATATGAAATATATCTTATTATTATTATATATATTTAATTTTAAATAAATATTACAACAATTTATAAGTTAATGTCAAGATACTACAAACTTGATGTTATATTATGAAAAATTAGAAACTATGTGTGAAATGAATTTCTAGCATTAAAGTTAATAGTTATATCTTATTTTTCACATAATCATTTAATATTTAAATGCTGGTATTATTTAAGCTGGTATTCTAATAATTTCAAAATCCGGGTACGGATTTGGAAATAAAAAAATTATGTCATTAAATATATGTCGGTAATATCTTAAAATGACAAAATTCAAATTTAAATAATCTTTTCATAAATTATTACTCTTAAAATATTAATCTCTGTCAATATTGTTTGTTAGAAAGACCTTAAGAAAAAAAATTTATTAATCTGAAGCAAAGTAACGAATGAATATGCAAATCATTAACATGGATTTGTAAATGACGAGACTCACTCGAAAAATATTTAAGCTCAAAGTAAGAACTCCAATTATTATTAAAAACATGAACGAGATTTGAAATCTGGATATAAAATAATTGGAGAATCTAAAAGCAAACGTAAGTTATTACGAATGTTATATATTTATTACAGATTATATACTTACTTAATAGAATTTCGATGAATATCTACAGCACGAATTAAACCTTTATAAACTAATATCTCTTTCTCTGTATTAAGATTTTTTGATGTGTAAGTATATATGGCTTTCTTGATGCGATAACTGTAAATAATTTAATAATTGATAACTGTAGGAAGAAGTAAATATACTCAATAATTTTAAAGAAATAAGAGAAAAAAATTAGTTTGTGTTATAGCTCTTAATAATATAATTTAATAAAATAATTTTTATAAGTGTGTTCGCGTTACGCATTTATTATTGATCTGGTCGTATAGTGTAATACATATCTGTGCACAAACACTTATTAATGTGATAAGCTAATTTGTAATATTATATAATCCCGGCCTGCTGAGAATTTCCAATAACATTAAAATATAAATGAAAATATTAATTACTTCTCATGTATTTGATTTTATCCCATTTAAAATTTTACTTTCAAGGTAAAGCTAAAAAGTTGATATACACTATATTGCACATTAAGAAATTATGCATATTAAGATTTCGTTATTTTAATAATTTAACTATTTAAATTTTTAATAAGCATAATAATAGCTAATATTTTAGAAAGTAAATTTTTCGTATCAAAACAAATGCTTTTTGAAAATAAGAGAACAAAGAGCCCATTTCTAATTTAAATTTTGTAACAATTTTTAAGATGCTTATTAACATCAAATTATGATATTAATATCCTTCCAAGATATTGATTAGCATCAATATTATTATTATAGCAATTTCAGTTTAAATGTATGATATTTTTTTTTAATTCCATTTATGACTGCATTTTATAATTGAAAATGATGTTGACGCGTAATATATAGTATTGGCTATATACCTACTCTTATAAACAATCATGTACGCCTTGTTACTCATTGTTAGTTGTGTATTCACGCATCACGGACACTTTGTTTTTGTAATTATAAATTATTTAATAATTACATATGTTTATTATGTTACCTAGCAATTTTAAACATTCCGCAAACATGTTGAAGATATGCAATAAGCAATGATCCTGTCCCGAATATTACTACGCATCCTATAATAAAAGTTGCATTTATATGGAAAAACAGTAAATAGAAATATCTTTGTTGATCGATAAAATATTCGGTGGAGATCTGCAGATGATGTGATCGAGATACGTTTGTAGATAATACAATATTACTGAACTCCAACCATAGAGAGGTGCTCATAAATACAGATAAGCTAAAAATAAGAATTACTATTCACTATTATGAAGATTTGGTATTATTGTTTCACATTTCAAAACAATACTTCTATTATTGCAATATCAATCTTGTTTCTTAAAACTAAAATATTATACTTATGACTATATACAGTTGAAATATTTTATTTACAGTATTTTGGCATGCATTTTTATTCTTTGGTACATTTACATTCAAATGCTAATTTGATTTATTATATAAATTAAGATAAATATTTTTTAGTTGTAAAAATTTAATAAGAATTTCATTAAATAATTCCCAATATAAAAAAAAATGAAAAGATGTCTTACTTGTAAGCATAACCGTATACTGTTTTGCATTATTTCCATATTCTTCTGCAATAGCAATTTCGTTGCTATCTCTTAAATCGTTATAGACATGCTGAATTTTTTCCATTAAATTTTTTATCTATGCTATCAATAAGCTTTTATATATCTTATTGTTAGTTAAAATTTTAAAAATATTGATCAATAATATTAGGTGTTGGAATTAATTCGTAGCGTTTTACAAGTGATGGGAAGTACTTTCATTAATTATATATATATATATATATATATATATATATATATATATATATATATATATATACGAATATATATATATATATGTTTGTTAATATGTTTATCTTAACAAATATAGTTGACAACTTGCCGTTTCACTGTTAATGTAAAAGGAATTATACTTTATAACAAAGTTGCTAAAAGCAAGTGCAGTAGAAAGAACTTTAATGATGACTTCTGTAGAACATGTTGAAGTAAAAATTGTTGTAAGCTGTAAATAATAATTTTTTTAAGAGAAACAACGTTATTCATATTATAACCTATTTTAATGCAACTATAAACCATTTTTATCACTTTTTATCAAGTCGTACAATTGGGTTTCGCGAGTTAATTTTTATTTGAATCCAATATTAAAGTGCTATCGTAAAGTATAAATATTGCAATTTATTTCAGAGCGAGGAGCAATTTGATTATATATCAAATTGACATTAATGAACTAAATTGCAATATTTATGAAAAATTGGGATTTTAATAATGGATTTGGACCAGAAGGTAATCCGCGAAACGCATGACTTCTGTATGAAAAATTCGTAAATCGTGAAATCTTCAAAAATATTAAATACAGTATAATTATAATTTTCAAAATTTCGTACTAATCTAATTATGTAATTATTTGCAATCGAAATCGACATATAATAACATTTTATTATTCGCACGTACAACAATATTTACACGGAAAAAAATATAGCTGAAAACTTCACTGATTCAGTAAATCTACAGTCATAATATACAGACGTAATATACAGTCAATTTTCTATGTTAAAATAGCAAAGTTGACAGCTGAATAACATTAGAGATTTGTTAAACCATCAAATTTTCTTAATTATCGATGTTGAATTCTCGTAGCAAATTATAGGTTTGCTGTACCATCCAATTAATTTTTTTTCCGTGTATATGCGTATATGTACTTGCACAGACTTTTTTTATACGTATATAGAATAAGATCTTACTAATATTCGCGCTAATTTTTATATTTAATTGCTTAGTTGACATATTTCAAGACAATTCATATTTTCAGAAAAAAAATCAATTATCAAATATCAATTCTTAAATTCAGCATATTTGCTATTGTAAATAAATTCAAGATCTAATATAATATTAGAATCAAAATCTTCATACCTGAAATATAATGCAAGTTATAAGGATGCTAAATATACATATTATTTGCAATCCAACAAATTTTGATTTTTTATAAGGCCACAAACCAATTATCAACAAAAGAGTTCGATTAAGACTGAAATATCTGTCCACAACACTGATCATGTCTCAGTTAACTCTAAAATGCTTTTAACGGAATTGAAGTGAAATAAGTTGCGTAGTTGCGCTTATCCCCACCATTTAGTTGATTGATGATAAATGTTTTTAATATTTTTTTCTTCTAATGTATGAAATGTTTCACAATTTAAGACAATTTCAGTATTTCAACCAATTTCGCTAAATTGTTGAAATTTACATAAATTTTAGAAAATTTTTTGAATTTTCAATGATATATGTATCGTGAAATGTGCAATAAAATACTGATGTAATATTAAAACCCTCGCAATTTAATACTACTTTTTAAAAATATGTTGCGTTTAAGCGATCGATTTAGCGAACGAACAAATTCAACAGATGTTCTTGTTTCGTAGAATAACATCCATAAGAAAAACTATTGCTGTAAAACTAGCGCAAGCGCTGTAGTTACTTTTTCAACGACGCGTATTCTCGTTTCATTCTAAAATACGCCTTTGTAAGTTATACTTGATTTAAAACGCTACGAATTAATTCCAACACCTAATATATTTTTAACATATTATTTACGTTATACGTATATAGTGTAGAATAAATAAATTCGCGTAATTATCAATAAGTACGAGATGTGTATACCGACTATTTTATGAACGTAATTTATATTCTTTTGTTCTTTTTTAGTATTTACTTCATTCTCTATGAAAAAGGAGATATCTTCAAATATGAGGTTATATCTAATTGTAAATAACGGATGGAGAGTCTTTCCAAAATGGACACATTGTATTTGCTATTATAAGCATGCGTTTCTTTTGACTTTATTTTATTAGTTTATTTTTTATATTTAACTTCTTTCTTTATTCTAAAAGATCAATTAAAATAAATCACTTTACATAAATTATTGTTAATGATATAAATTTTTAAAGTTTTCTTTATTAATTATATATCCAAGGTGCAAAATACAGAATCTAACAGGAAAATCAATTTTCATTCAACAAGAAAAAATCTGGTATATGATATTTATATATGATGTATTATAAAATGAAGATATAAATAAACAAAAGAAAAATCTTTTTGTTTCTGTAAATT